ATCCCGGGGATCCCGGGGATGGGAGCCGGGGATCCCGAGGGTGGGAGCCGGGGATCCCGGGGATCCCGGGGGTGGGAGCCGGAGATCCCGGGGATCCCGGGGGTGGGAGCCGGGGATCCCGGGGATCCCGGGGGATTCTCCGGGCGGAGCCGGCCCGGACAGAGCGGGGGGCGCGGGGACCGCAGGGCGCGGAACGGCCGGCAGAGGGCGCCAGAGGCCGCGCTGAGAGCGGGAGCGCGGCACGGACAGAGACGGACACGGAGAGACGGACATGGACAGAGAGACGGACATGGACAGAGAGACGGACATGGAGAGATGGACATGGACAGAGAGACGGACATGGACAGAGAGACGGACATGGACAGAGAGACGGACACGGAGAGATGGACATGGACAGAGAGATGCACATGGATAGAGAGATGGACATGGATAGAGAGATGGACATGGACAGAGAGACGGACACGGACAGAGAGATAGACATGGACAGAGAGACGGACATGGACAGAGAGATGGACATGGACAGAGAGATGGACTCAGAGAGATGGACATGGACAGAGATGGACATGGACAGAGAGATGGACATGGACAGAAATGGACATGGATAGAGAGATGAACATGGATAGAGAGACGGACACAGAGAGACGGACATGGACAGAGAGATGGACACAGACAGAGAGATGGACATGGACAGAGAGATGGACACGGAGAGAGACACAGACATGGACACAGACATGGACAAGGACAGAGACACGGACATGGACAGAGAGATGGACATGGACAGAGAGACGGACATGGATAGAGAGATGGACACAGACACAGACATGGACATGGACATGGACAGAGACACAGCCAGAAACACGGACACAGACAGAGACATGGACATTGATAGGAACAGAGACATGGACACGGACAGAGAGACAGACCTGGACAGAGACACAGACATGGACAGGGACAGACACGAACACAGCCGTGGGCATCGTGGGAGCTCCGGGAGCTGCCGTGTCCCTCCAAACTTATTTTCTATTTCTGTCACTCTTTCAATCTCCTCTCATAAAATAAAAAGTAGAAAACCAACTCAGGCAAAGGAGGGGGAACAAAAGATGAGACTTTCACCGGTGTCTGTGATTGCAACTCCAAAGGCAGGGAGTGCTAAGCACAAATCCAGGTGTCTCTTCCAATGACATTTTCATGGAGGTGATCACACATACCTCAGTGACCATTGCAATGAAAAACAAATGGCTTAATAATTCCTTTTTCTGTTACCTTTCTTCCCAAGAGGCAGGTTTGCGTTGGAGTCAGTTTTAAACCCAGCTCCCTTTGCCTGAGCAGTGCTGATTTTGGACCCTCTGTGCATTTCCTGGCTCCTCAGACTGATCCCACCTGTACCACACCCAGTATTACAGCCTGTACTGTGGGTCTCAGATTCAGTCAAAGAAAGAAACTGAGAGTTTCTAGCCAGGCAAAAGCCTGGGAAAGAGCTGGGAAAGAATATAAATAATCCTTTATCTCTCTTGTTTTTCACATTGTTTATAGTTAAGTTCTATCACTGTGCATCAAGCACTTTGCACCAATGGTGTGCGTTGTTTTCACTTCAGAACCAATGGTTTTGGTCCTTGCAGAGCTCTGTATAAAAGAGCAGTGTATTTTGAATAAATCAGAGTTTTACTCTCAGCAGCCTTCTGAGTCAGTCTCTTCATTCCCGTCCTGCCTCCACAGTGACACTGTACTTTGAGTGCTAAACAAATACTTCAGTCAATAAAAACAGTTCTGGATGACTCTGAAAACTGAAGACTCCCTCTTCTCTACCAACAGGAGGACTAATAAGGGACAAGATATTTGCAGACAATATTTTTCTTTTCCTTTTTTAGGTTGAATGTGTACAATTAGCTTTTTTATTTATTTTCATATGAAGAAGTCAGATGAGCCTGGATTCTGATAGCCAGAAGTTTTATGGAACCCAGACTCTCTCTGAATCCCAATTTAGACCGAACCATTGCAGTGACCCAGATATTTCTGTCCCTCAGAAGTGCAGGGATCACTTAAAGACTCTGGATTTGAAGTGATGCTTTTCATCCCAAGCAGGATGAATCTACAATTTTCTGAAGCCACAAGTGCCAGCTATTTCTACCAGTCCTGGAATGATTCCTTCATTATGATAATCATTCTTGTACAAGTTGATCCTGTTGTTTGAGTAGGGACTAATTCATGGCATTAGCTATAAATTGCAACTCCCTTTTCATTTTCTTCCCTCCCATTTTCACTTCATGGATATATTTTGTTAGGAGACACTGTTCTTGTGGCTCTCAGCATCCTCACAGCTACAAAATCACTTCTTGAATCAGAGCTCCTTAAAGTTATGAAAACACAGTTTAAGGAAACCATGATGTGACCTGCAGCATCTTCATAAAAGACTAAGAGCACTCTGAGAAGCCCATGAGCAGTACATTTGTATGGGTAAAACTACATATGAATATGTTTTTAATGTTTTATTCATAGCTGCATCACACTGAGAAATTATAGGGTACAAACTGTGTGACAAGACATAATTAGGAACACTATTTATTTTAATTAAGGTGTATTATTAGATCTAGTATTCGGGCTCCCCAGAGGTGCAGCAATAGCTCTCTGAAGGGATGTATGTAAAACATCCTCTCATCACACAAGAAATCTGCTTCATGTGCTCTAATTCCTGTGCAAAACATACAGAGGAAAAGAGCTCTTGTAAGGGCTTAGGAAATCCTGCTTTGCTGCTGAACATGAAAAATGGAGTTTCAAGGGGAAAGCACTGCTGCAAGTCAGGGATTGAACAAGTGGCAGAATAGATTCTCAGGTTCTGACATGGTCCCTATGGATGGTGAAATAGTTTTGCTGCTTGGTCTTGTGGGGACATCCCTCTCTGGCTGCAGATGTTTTGTCTGGGCTGGCATCAGGCATCCCTTCAAATGCACATTCCCTGCAGATGAACAGGGGAGTTTCCCTGATTCTTCTCCAGGTTTGGTGGACACAGTTGTATCTGCTCATCTTTCACAGGTGTCAGACAAAACTTCTGCCTGACACAGGCATGCCATGTGGGGAGGGCAGACACTCTAAGTGCTGCTTTTCTTTCCTTCTGTTGAACAGGTTTAGAAGCAGATAAAGGAAAAAACTTCATACTCCAAAGATGTGGCTGTCTGCCTGCCCTGGGGGCTGCTCCCTGCATCCCTGCATCCCTGGGGCTGGCAGCTGCAGCCCTGCCTTCACACCCTGCCCTGGCTGCTCCTGGGACAAGGAAACACCAGCACCAGGAATTCCCTCAGGCAACACCACTGGAATGATACCAGGCCGGCTTAGGTAAAATGTCACTTACAGGGAGAGGGAATAGCTAAAAATGAAGCTGTGACCTTTGTCTGTCCTCTCCTTCCCCTGCCAACATGAATTTTCAGTGGTCCATACAGGCACTGCTGCCATCTTCTCACATGGGCTTAATCACATACAGAAACATGCATTAAAATTCAGAGGTCTCCTTCTTTCTGATGTTTCTTGCAAAGAGAGAGGAATCAGTGTTCCTGGCCTTCAGGGATGGAAGCTTTCTCTGGAGATAGTTCTTGTCATCTTTTTTCCACTCATGGAAATGGTGATTAACTCCTTCAACTCTCCCAAAGTGGCTTCAAATGACAGGCTGTTTGAAATACTTTTAAAACCCCTGAAGTCTTTGGCCATTCCAGGAGAAGTTTCATCATGCCAGTGTGACACCTCAAAGTCAACTGAT